GGCGGGCCTTACTGGGGTGCCCACACACACGTGCGCTGTGCGCCCATGCACTCCTGGACTGAATGCACCCACGCACCAAATACCCATGCACCAAATGCACCCCTGCGCAGAAGCGCCGCTGTACTTGTGCACCCATGCACCCACAAACCCAGTGCACCAATGCAGAGGTGCACATACGAATCAAATGCACTCATATACCCATTGCCCCCATGCATGCACCCGTGTAGCTGTGCACTGTGCATCCATGCAAAGCCACATCCTGCACACTGATACACCCGCAACTCAAATGCACCCGTGACCAGTGCCCCCGCAGATCAAACACCCTCATGCCAATGCACCCTGTACCCGTGCACAGATGCACCCATGCACCCGCAAATCGAATGTGCACACGCACCAATGCCCCTGTGCACCCATGCAACCATGAAGCAAATGCCTCTGTGCACCCCTGCACTTATGAAGCAAATGCACTTATACACCAGTGTACCCATGCACCGATGCACCCGTACCCCTGCGCACTGATGCAACCATGAAGCAAATGCACCCCTGCATCAAATGCGCACATGCACCTGTGCATCCATGTACTGATGCACCACTGCACCCGTGCACAGATGCACCACATGCGCTTGCACCCCAGTGCCTCCACGCTCAGATGCATCCAGTGCACTTACCCAGGCACAACTGTGCACCGCTGCAACCACGAAGCAAACGCACCCCTGCGCTCATGCATCAAGCGCACCCACGCATGATGCACCTGCACAGCACCCTCACCTCCACGCAGAACCTGCCCTGGTGGGTCCTGGAGAGGCAGTAGGGGACGACGCCGCAGGGCGCCCGCACCCACAGGCACCAGCGCTTGGCCAGGCCGGGCTGGGGGGGCAGGAGGAAGGCCCCGGGGACGTCCTGCCGCAGCAGCGCGATGCCGCTGTCCCTGGGGAGTGGACGAGGCCGGGAGTGGGTGCAGGGAAGGGCTGGGGGGGACAGCGAGGAGCGGGGTGCTCCCGCGCACTCACCTGGCGATGCCGGCAAAGGCCCACACGCTCTCAGCGAGGATGCTCTCATTTTCAGGGAGGAAGGCCAAGCTCCTTGCCCCTTTGCTCTCCCATCCCGCCACCACTGCAGGAGCCCATTAATCCCCTCTTTGCCTCGAAAAACCCCAGGAAATCGGGGTTACGTGTGCATGCCCCCCAGTGCCTCAGTTTCCCCTCTGGACACTCACTGGCGTCACGAGGCGGCTGGTGGAGCTGGCTCTCGCCCCCACAGTCCCGGTAAGCTCCCGAGCGCAGGACTTTGCTGCGGATGGCCTTTTTGCGCACCAGAACCGGGGAGCAGTAGGGATTCCCTGGGCGCCAGGCACCAGCTCTGCCCTCCACCTCCGGCCGCCGCTCCTGGAGGGTGAAGGGGCTGTGAGAGGGGTTTGGGAGATGCTTGCTGTGCAAAATGTCACGCAAAGCACCGTGCAAAAAACAGCTATACAAAAAAAAAAAAACACTGTGCAAAAAAAAAAAAAAAGCCACGCAAAATGCCATGCAAAAATGCCTGCAAACAATGCCAGATGAAAAAACACCACGCAAAAAAAAATTCCGTACAAATTACCATGCAAAAAACCTCTATGCAAAAAATGTTATACAAAAAATGCCCTGCAAAAAAAAGGCCATGCAAAACACCCTGCAAAAAACTGCCATGCAAAAAAGTACCATCAAAACAATGCCCTGCAAAACACCATGCAAAGTTGCTGTGCAAAAAAACCACTGTGCAAATACACCCTGTGCAGAATGCCATACAAGAAAAGGCCGTGCAAGAAACGGCTGTGCAAAATGCTGTGCAAGAAAAGACCGTGCAAAAAACTGTCCTGCAAAATGCCATTTAAAACAGGCTGTGCAAAACACTGTGCAAGAAAAGGCTGTGACGGATGGGCCTTATGAACCGCGCTGTGCAAAAATGTGCCATGCAAACCTCTGTGCAAGAAGAGGCTGTGCAAAACGCTGTGTGCATAACACTGTGTAAAGAAATGCTGCACAAAGAGGACGTGCAAGAAAATGCCATGCAAGACGCCATGCAAAAACATGCTGTGCAAGAAAAGGCCGTGCAAAAAAAGTGTCATGCGCACAGCACTGTGCAAAGAAATGCAATGCAATAAAAGGCTGTGTGAGAAAAGGCCATGCAAAAAAAGCTGCACAATACACCATGCAAAAATGTGCTGTGCAATCACACGCCATGCAAAATGCCGTGCTGGAAAAGGCCATGCAAAAATCCCACATATGAAAATGCTGTGCAAACAAATGTTGTGCAAAGGCCCGTCAAGCAGCACCCTGGCAGGGTGCACCTACCCCTGCACCCAGGTTGCCGAGGCCAGCTGGTGCGGGCAGACGTCGGAAGGAGACGAGGGCGTTGACGTTGCGCGACACCTCCTCGGGGTTGAGGGGCTCCCGCAGCACCCCGGCCCCCGGGGGCTCCCCCTCACCCACCTGCTCCTCGGGGTGCGCCAGGAGGTAGCAGAGCTGGAAGGAGCGGCAGAGCAAGAGGTGCAGGGTCTGGACCTGGGGGAGGCAAAAGAGACTACATGCAAATATTAAAAATAATAACAATGGGTTTTTTG